CATAGGGAGAATTGGAGTCCTGGCAAGGCAAAGCCTGCAAGCACACCTGCACCCAAAGCTGCTGCGGCTTGGCTCAGACTTCATCGACAGGACCACATTGAGCATCTAAACAAAAGAATTGAACGCGTTTGTTTGTTGCAATCCCCTACAAGCTCTCTTGAAAGGTCTTGAAAGCACACGTCAAGGGTGTCCCAATCTTTGGCTCTTGGACTTGGAGCAGATGGCTGTGTGAGCCATTACAGGGGCAGACCGAGTTGGGATCGCCTGCGGTTCGTTTCGATTCGTTTTGGTTCCTTGAAACTGGAATGATGGCGGTTCGGCTCGCAAAAGGAACCGGTTCGCTTCGGTTCCATTTGTTCGCACTACACCGGTTCGTTTTCGGTTCCGTCTGGGAATCGGTTCGGTTCGGTTCCACCTTTTCTTGAGCGGTCAACACAGCAGAAGATGGCATGTGACACACAGGATTTGGCCGAGCTCAGCATAGTTTCATATAGTTTCCATAGTTTCCATAATGCATACCCATGGGAGTGTTTTTGGCATTGAGAAGCGGTGAGTGCCATGGTTTTGAGCCAAAGACCTCTTGAAAGTGATTTTCGCCTTGTGAAAATCGTTTTTGGCATCGTTTCTACGATCGCTTCATTTTCGGCTGGCCGAAATGGTTTCTGGATCATGTGATTGTTGGCCTTGAGAATCGTTTCTGACAATGCTCGGGTGCGTCCTGGTTGTGAGAGCGCAGACAAACAGATGAGTTCAATCAGTCCTAAGAATCGAAACACATATATACATCACAGCGGGCTCCAGCCAGATGGTTTGTTGCTTGAGCGGTTCCCGGTTCGTTGCCATTCCGTTGAGGCGTTTTTATAAGCGTTGCGGCTCGTTTCGGTTTCATAGAAACCGGTTTTCAGTCCGGTTCGGTTCGTGCTTCGGTTCGGTTCGCGGTGCGGGTGAAGCGAAGCCGGGCTTGGAGACGAAGCGAAGCCGGTGCTCGTCACACCTGAAATGGGGAGTTGGGAGCCACCGGACCAAGTAGGGAGCCACATGTCGGGGGAATCAGTTCTTTGCAGCGATACTATCTTGAGAGACACGAACGCCACAGAGTCACTGCACCGGGGGGACCTGTGGTATCCTGTGGTTGGCCCGATTCTAGGCTAAGCCTGCTTCTTCTTCGCCGGCATCTAGCGAGTCTGCCGCGGCTCGGGTGCAAAACGTTTGATGTGACCGTGATCTGACCCTAGGATGAAGGAGTTTTGTATTTGCATCGCTGCACTCTGGCATTCCTGAGAGAGACACCCATGAGACTGATGTTTACATTTCGCAAAGGGCGAGATGGGAAAGGCTTGCCCTCCGGGCTATCACGAGTGGCTGCCAGTTCGACATCCTCCAAGGCTGCGAAGAAGCACTTGCAGGATGCTTTGCACCATGGCCAATCCGATCGGGGAGGAGAAAATCGGGCGAGCAAGCCAGGCCCGAAGCCTGTCCTCCACGAGCCCCGAACAGCCTGACTTTGACACCCAAGCTTGAAAGACGTTTCTTCAATTTGTGAATTGTTTTTTGGGCTGGGAGGTTGGCCCACTGTCTATGTCAATGTGACAAACATTGACAAACTATAAAAAGTGGGGTATTGTAGTGACTTGAGGCATTTCAGACGCCCTCAATCTTGCCACGTGATCGGGCCTAGGTCAACAGTATTGTAGAGTATGGCCAGAAGACAAAGGGTTTGGACTTTGCATGTCTTGACAGGTACACATTGTACATTTTTCTGTGTCGTACCTGCGTCACTTTTGGATGTGGAAAAACCATGCCTTTACAGTTTTAGATCATTTGTGTCCTGGGCTACCTCTACTCTACGGCCGAACTTTGTATTAAGAAAACTTTTTGAGGTAGAGTGTACTCCTTGACCTTGGCGAGTTTCTTACGTAGACTTACGACCCAACGCCACCCTCCGAACCCCATTTGGGGGTGATTTCGATATCGCCTGAGGAATGTTGGTAGGAAATCTGGATCTCCCCATGCAGAAGAACTAGCGCATGAAGCAAGTAGGCTAGGAAGCTGAACACTTATTGTTGTACTCCTCTAGATCACTGGCATGCAAGCTGTTTGTACTTAGCTGTGACAAGGCAACCTACACTATCGGGCAGATGCCGTGTGTGCGCGTGCGCATGTGTGTGCGTTAGATCCCAATTTTCTTTCACCTGCGGCATTTCAGGCACGAAGTGGAGCCAGAAAAGGCACAGCTGACAGAAATGTGGGATAGGCTCAAGAAGAAATGACTCTAAACGCTTCGATCACCTATATATATATATACATAGTTATAGTTCAGTAGATCATCGAAGTGAGAATGTCCTAGATCACCAAGACTTTATGCTTGATTTAGTTGACCTCCTTGACAAATGTCTTTATGGCACATGGGGTAGATTTGCTGGATGTTTCTTGTCGAGGCCACAACATGCCACAACCACTTGCTTGCATCTACCTTTATCTTAAGGGGGGCAGAAATCAGTGGAGTAGCAAGAAATTACTAGTAGCTCCTGGCATTACTAGTAGCTAGAAACTCTTAGTAACAAAGGGCATCAGTGGGGGGAGGGGTTCTCTGAGAACTCGGTCTCGAACCGAAGGGAAGACCCACGACTGTGAGGCGATAGAGAGAACTGGCAGAGTCGTGGGTTTCACCACCATCGACGTTTCTAGGCTCCAGAATGGGCCAAGCTCAATGAGACGTTTGCCCTTTTGGACTCGCCGCTGGGCAGATGGGCGCAGGTTTCGGGTTTTGGGGGACGAGACTTGTGGATTCGGGACTGGTAAGACGGCTCGACCAGAAGAGCCTTTAACTGGATCGTTCAGCCGATTAGATCACCAAGGGGTTTGATCGCTCGGTTGAAGACCAGTGTGGGTGGTGCTTGAAAGAAGGGCGATTTCAAGCGCCTGCCTTTCTTTGCCATCCAAACTACCCAGAGAATTTAAGACCATGTCAGTGCCTAATTGCATGTCAAGCTCAAGGGAGACTAGAATCCTTAGTTCTTACTCGTGATTCCTTGAGCTAAAAATTCCGCCCCAAGAGTCATATGTGCAATGTGCAGACAGAAACGTTTTCAGAGGAATCAGCATTGCATACACCTCAATTGCTGGATCATTGGGATCGGGGCAAAACCCCAAAGCGTCCTTCAATGGCTCCCTTCTTCGCTGAACAGCGCCCCGTTCCTCTCGCCGCTGGGCAAAGCGACCAGGGATGGAAATGGCCACATCAGCAAGGACGGCAGGTGATGTGTTCGGCCGGGACGAAATGGATCGACGTGGCAAAACGTGGGGCGAACCATGAAAGGGCCTGGCAACCAGGCAGAGAATGCAACAGTTTTCTACAATAATGTGCCCTTTCTTTTCAGGGCAATGCTCTACGGATCTTGAAACACCTACACCCGAAGTCTAAGGTCAAGTCAGAAGGATATTGAAACTCCGTTGTAGACTGGTGACGGTGAGGGAGCCCTTTAGATCCTCTTCCCACTTCTGTGGAAGGCTCTTTCTCCACAACACTTTGAAGGGATTGCTACGACTGCTACGTGGGGAGTCACAGCCATTCGTTTGTTGCTTCGTCACAGCCATCCCGACCAACGACACCATGACGTCACCGTCCGCAACCCGCGTTGCCATGGCGCTTTGCCGAGGCGAAACGGGGAAACCGACAAGCTTTCCTCAGTCTGGTGGAAAACGACCAGCTGAGGGTGTGTGTTTGACGGCGTTTCAACTTAACTGCGAGTCACCCTCCTGGAGTTTTGGTGAGTTACATTCTTCATTCCGTCGTACCATCTTTTGCATGCTGGCTGGGAGGAATGTTAAACCATTTTCCCATCAGGCTCTGACCTAACCCTACAAAACGTAATTTGACCTACCTGCTTACATTGACTAAGGGTCTCCAACAGCCATTTTGCTTCGCCATGTCAAGTTCTTTGATCCGACCTCACAGGTCCACAGGTCCGAGGAACAGAGGGCATCGCTACGAAGGGAGTAAGAAGCTACGTTCGTAGCTCCTGGCATTAATCTACTAGTAACAAAGGGCATCGCTGCATCTCTACTAGGAGCAACAAGAAGTTCACCGTCATGGCATGCGATGGCCGTCCGAGAGACAGCCCCGCCGACCTTGGCAGGACGAGTTGATCTCGGTCGTGAAGGACCACGGTGTGGACGAGAAGGAAGTCCTCAAGGACCGATGGTTTTTCCCGCTCAACGGGTTGTTCGGTTCACACCGTGCACAGTCTCCGTTCATCCCCTAAGAATACTGCACAGACAGTGGACAGTGTGTGTGTGTGTGTGTGTCAAGCCCTGTCCCTCAGGTCCTCCCCTTCCTTTTTGATTTTTCACTCTCAAGCAGGGGCGTGCAGCATCTGTGGTCCACTGCACGCAACGAAGCTACGACCACAGATGGGAAGGGATCAAGGACGCTTGATCCTGTACCTGCAGAATAACACATTGACACCAATGGTCCACCCTGCCGCTGTTCGTTGTTTTCATGGTCCTTCTTCATGCTACTACCCCTTAAACCATTTTCTTTCAGCCACTTGCAGCAGCCGCGCGTTTTGCAGCATGTCACCGCAGTTGTGAAAAACACATTGTTCAAACACCTTCAAGTGATCGGACGCTTCACCTTGCGGTTCTCCACCTTCCTTCCACCTGGGAACTGAGTTAATTGAAAACCAATGTCAGAGTGTGAACCGCTCAGTCGTCCCACTTGGGTGCTGGGTGTGATCCCCGTCACTGGGGCGCTGATTTCATGCCGGATTTTCACTAACAGCTTCCTTCGTTTCCACCGTTCGTTGAATTCTCTTAATGGATTTGGCTTCACTACTGGATTAACTGCTTACACGCCGCCGGGCTTCACGGGATACCCTTCTCTCATGCATTCCACTATGGCCATTCTGAGGTCAGGCACGTTTTTTCTAGTTCCAAACCCCCCCCTGCCGAGTTCTACTCCCTACCTAATTAGGGTAACACAGGGAAATGGTACTCGACACACTTGTGTGTCGGTGCCTTTCCCTCTGTTGTCCCTGCTCTAGTCTACTCTACCCGGGCGGTCTAAGACTAAAGTCCCGATCCCTAACTGTTGCACTTAATTCGTTTCCGCTAAGTAGTCAGTAACTCTAGAGGGCTAAGTATTCAAACACACACATGGACATACACCCCCTCCCTGCCCCCCGCTTTCCTTCTTGCGCTTTTCGTCGTTTGTTGTGCTTTCTTTCAGGCTTTTTAGGTGGTTCTTGAGGCTCGTTTCCCTACCCCAGTCAAGGGCTAAGTATTCACCTTTTGCGACTATACGTCCTAAAGGGACACAGCGCCAGAGAGTGCCAGCGTTTCCTGCGGGAAATCAAAGCCATCTTGGCAACGTGATCACATGTGCGCCGAAAACGGCCACGTGTGTGTGTGTGTGTGTGTCAAGCTCTGTCTCTAAGGGTCCTCCCCTTCCTTTTTGATTTTTCACTCTCATGCAGGGGCGTGCAGCATCTGTGGTCCACTGCACGCAACGAAGCTACGACCACAGATGGGAAGGGATCAAGGACGCTTGATCCTGTACCTGCAGAATAACACATTGACACCAATGGTCCACCCTGCCGCTGTTCGTTGTTTTCATGGTCCTTCTTCATGCTACTGCCCCTTAAACCATTTTCTTTCAGCCACTTTCAGCAGCCGCGCGTTTTGCAGCATGTCACCGCAGTTGTGAAAAAACATTGTTCAAACACCTTCAAGTGATCGGACGCTTCACCTTGCGGTTCTCCACCTTCCTTCCACCTGGGAACTGAGTTAATTGAAAACCAATGTCAGAGTGTGTGTGTACCCCTTGTAATCACAGGGATTCTTTTTGAATTGTTTTGAGCAGGGGGCACAGGAGGCCCATGGAGCTGTGCCCAACGAAGCTCTCTATGGTGACCTCAGGATATGCAGCCTGATCAGCTGCACGTACCTGCTGTTTGAGCTTTTGAACAAGCTTTGACTCCAATTTCCAGTAAAGTGCTAATGAGCTTGGCAGACATGATCGTCGCTTTCGGTCTTGAGCTTTTGGCCCTTTCTCCTTTTGAAGACCTCCAGGCTCCGTAGGGTTCTCCTGGACTTTTCAGGATTTGGTTTCTTAGGCTGGCGTGTGGCAGCCCAGGGTGAGCCCGAGTGTCCCCTGTGGACCCGTTTGTCTTTATCTCCCTGCCCGGAGATGTACGTGCCCAGAGCGGGCGTAGGAGGCTTACGCCAAAGTTGCTTGCCAAGACCTGACGGATTATTGAATTCCAAGCTGGCTCGTGCCTGTACGTGACCGCAGCGGTCTAAGCAGCCAGCCATTTTGGCATGGCGTACGTGGCCGCAGCGGTTCAAGGTTCATTGGAACCTGTCGAGCTTAGTCCCCCTTCCTCCCCCCACCCCCTCTCTTCCCCCGTCGCTTGTTGGGGTGTTCCAGAATGTAATACTCAGGTTCACCCCTTTCTCCCTGGTGTGTCCCTGGACGCTTGTTCGTAGCTGGGAACACCTGTCCTCTTCCTCTCTTTTCCTTCTCTCTCTTTTCTCCTTCCTTCCTTTCCCTCCTTCTTGTTTGGGTGTCCCTGGATGCTTTCGTCATAGCTGGGAACCCTTCTTTCCTCTTGGTGTGTCCTTGGACGCTTGTGTCGTAGCTGGGAACACCTTC